TTAATAGTTTGGAAGTATGCTCTCAAAATATAGTATCTTTTAGATAAACAAGATCAATTTTTACAGAAAATGTTGGGTTGTTTGGCAACCATTGAATCATTTAGAGTCCTAAATGTTTGAAAAACTCTAAATGAAAACATATTGTTTGGTTAGATATTTGAATGGATATGTTGGCAGTTGAATGATAAAAATGACCATTTTAACATTTGAACTATTTTCTACTAAATGAAACGTTCATGTTTTATGGGGATTGAAAAACTCTTCTATTCAACATAAGAACGAAATTACAATAAGAGGAGTACCTCTCACAATTAACTATTACAAAAAAATCCCTCTTTTCTAACACTTATACTCTAAGCGTTTCTCTATAACTCTTTATGTTTGGGATGCTTCACAATTGATGATGAAGCCTTTATTATAGTCATGACAACCACTATTTCTCCAGCCATCATTTATTATGTTCATCATAGGGTAGGAAGAAAATGTCATGATAACTTCTCTATTGTCAACAAAAGGGGCTATTATATCTTTGGAGGCTGGAACACAAAAAATCTCCTCCTTAAGGCTCCGTTCAACAATCCTCATCTAGACTATGTCAACATATAGTTTGTATTTCTCTTGTGTCACCACCTTGGCCAACATGTCTATAAGATTGTCATTTGTGTTGATCTTTGATAACTCCAACTCTCGTCCCTTGATTACTTCTCCAAGCCAATGATAATGGATGTCAATGTGTTTTATGTGGTAATGGTACATCGAGTTCTTGCTCAGGTCCCTAGCATTATGACTATCATAATGAATGATGTACTCTTCTTGTGGAAAGCCTACATCTTAAAGAAACCGTTTTAGCCACATAAGCTCCTTTTCAGCTTCAACGAAAACAATGTACTCAACTTCTATTGTTGATAGTGATACACACTTCTATAACTTGGATTTCCACGAGATACCTCCCCCCGCTAAAGTGAAAAATGTAACTCGATGTAGATTTCCTATTATCAAGATCTCATGCTATATTAACATATATATAACCTTCCACTATTGGATTTTCTCCCTCATAGCATAAACATAGTTTCGAACTACCCTTCAGGTATCCAAGTATCCACTAGAATGTTTCCCAATGTGCTTTCTCAAATTAAATGGATATCTACTCACAACACCAACACCATGAGCAATATTTGGTCTTATACACACCATCGCATACATAAGACTTCCTACAGGTGAAGAATAAGGCATTGTCTTCATCTTTTCTCTTTCTTTCTTGAAAGAGGGATAATTTTTCATACTCAACTTGAAGTGATTTGCCAATGGTGTACCAACAGGATTGGCATTTTCCATGTTGAACCTTTTGATCACACATTCAACATAATCCTCCTATGATAAGAACAATTTTCTTTATTCTCTATCAAGGATAATTTTCATGCCCAATATCTATTGTGTTGGGCCTAAGTCTATAAGAATTTTTTTCTTTATTCTCTATCAAGGATAATTTTCATGCCCAATATCTGTTGTGTTGGGCCTAAGTCTTTTATATCAAAGAACTTAGACAGATCCTTCTTCAAGTTGTTTATCATCGTTGTATATTGTTCCACTATCAACATATCATCTACGTAGAGAAAAAGGATGATAAATTTCCCATCTGGAAACTTCGTCAGGTAGACGTAGTGGTTTGCAACAGTTCTTTTGTATTCGTGACTTACCATGAATGAGTCAAACTTTTGTACCACTGTCTTGGGGCATGCTTAAGACCATAAGGTTCTTCTTCAATTTACATACAAGATACTCTTTCTTTAGGAATTTAAAGCCACCAAACTACTCCATGTATAATTATTTATCCATATCACCATGGAGAAAGGTTGTTTTCACATCCATCTACTCAAGTTCAAGATCTAGACAGTCAACCAATCCGAGTACAACTCGAATAGATATCATCTTCACAACTAGTAAAAACATATCACCGAAGTAGATTCCTTCTTTTTTGAAAACCTTTGACAAATCAATTCACATTGAATAAGAAAAAATATCCCCATTCTGAAAAAGAAAGAGAAAATATGAAGAGAGTCCCTTATTCCCCCATCATAAAAAGTCTTATGTATGCGATGGTGTATACAACCATATATTACTCATGATATCGGTGTTGTGAGTAGATATCTAGTTAATCCGAGAAAGCACATTGGGAAACAGTTAAGTGGATACTTCGATACCTGAAGGGTAGTTCGAAACTATCTTTATGCTAAGGGGGAGAAAAGCCAATCGTGGAAGGTTATACAAATGCCAATATGGCAGGAGATCTTGATAATAGGAAATCTACATCAAGTTACATTTTCACTTTAGCATGGGGAGCTATCTCATGGCAATCCAAATTATAGAAGTGTGTATCATTATCAACAACAGAATTTCGAGTACATTGTTGTCGTTGAAGCTTGAAAGAAACTTATATGGCTAAATTGGTTTCTTCAAGTAGTAGGCTTTCCACAAGAAGAGTACATCATTCATTATGATAGTCAGAGTGCTATGGACCTGAGCAAGAACTCGATGTACCATTCTCGCATAAAACACAATGATATTTGTTATCATTAGCTCATAGAAGCAATCAAGGGACATTAGTTAAAGTTATCAAAGATCAACATAAATGGCAATCCTATAGACATGTTGACCAAGGCGGTGACACAAGAGAAACACAAACTATATACTGACATAGTTTGGATGAGGATTGTTAGACGAAGATTGGAGGGGGATATTTGTTGTGTTCTAACCTCCAAATCTATATTAGTCCTTTTTGTTGACAATAGAGAAGCTAGCATGATATTTTCTTCATATGCTATAATGAATATAGTAAATGATGGTTGTCATGACTATAACAGAGGGTTCATCATCAGTTGTGAAGCATCCCAAACACAGAGAGATGGAGATAAACACTTGGAGTGTAAGTGATAGAAAAAAGGGTTAGTTTTTTTTATAATAGTCTAGTCGAGTGTGAGAGTTGTTCCTTTTATTGTAAATATGTTCTTGTGTTATGGTGACCATGGTTTCACCATCCTCCTTAAGTGAACTCTAGATCATATCAGGCTACTATCGTAGGAAGATTCAACAGCCACTCTTTTTGTGGTCATAATAATTACAATGATTGCAATGACCTTTGAACCGTGTATTTGTAGACTTACCTTGCTCTCGTGATTTCCCTGATATCCCTTGATTGTGGGAACTGCCCCTACTTGGACCATGTCTGCTTCTACCTCGACCTCAACCTCCAGTTTTTCCTTCGCCTCTTTCTTTGTTTTTTGACACGATGGTAAAAGATTGGTCTGTACCAGCTTCTTTCTTTCTAGCTTCCCCGTTCATTAGGGCGTCTGTAACCAACTCCATTGTCACTTTGCTACCAGGGACATAATTGTTTAGAGTCACAAAAAATTTCTCCTAATGATTTGATAGAGAACTCGGGAGCAATATGGCATGTTCCTCATATTTGAGAACCCAATCAGCAGCACCAAATTGGTTTATAAAATCCTGGAACTGCATATGCTGAGTTATGGATGTACCACTTCGTAACTTGTGGTTTATAAGGCCATCATCAGCAAGGCCTTGTTACATGCCGTCTTTTCTTGATACATATTCTTGAGCTTATCCCAAAGTTTGTATGTGTTTGCCTCTTGAGAGACATAATGAAAAACATTGTGGTCGATCCACTGTTGAATTTATGCCACTGTTTTTTAATTTTTCTCGTCCAATATTCTTCTATTTTCATGTCAGGTTTGACGCCTTTCTTTTCTAAAGGCTCCACTAAATCCTTCAGATTCAACAAATCTTCCATCCTTGGCGTCCACATGTTCTGAAGCGTAAAAAATGGTGGGGTAGACTTTTCCGGAGTTAAGATATACATTCTTGAAAATGTATGGGCTAATTTGTAACTTCTTAAAATTATAGGAACTAAACTATAACTTCTGAAAATACAGGGACCAATATGAAATATTTTCAGCATACAAGGACCTTTCTGAAACTTTTCAGAAGTGATGGGACAAAATTGAAATTTCCAAGAAAAAAAGGGACCAACCTACAATACTCTACAAGATCAGGGAGCAAACTGCAACTTTCTGGAACTTTGGTCAGCTGTTGATGTCACACTGGCTTCTTCTCCGACGAGCCTATTTTTCGACGAGTATTTGACCGGCTTCTTCTCCGACGAGCCTGTTTTTCGACGAGTATTTGACCGACTTGACCTACGTTTTGAAGGTTTTCCAACGGTTGAAAAATTCCCAAAAATATATTTTCGGAATCCTTGAAACGGGGCCTTTCCAATGATGTGCCCAAAAACGGATTTGCAGACAAAAAAAAAAAAAAGTTGACTCAAAAACAGAGAATTTCGTAAAATTTCCCTAGACACCAAACGAGGCTCTTCTATTCAATACAAGAACATAATTACAATAAGAGAAGCAACTCTCACACTCCACTATTACAATAAACCAACTCTCTTTTCTAACACTTACACTCCAAGTGTTTCCATCTAACTATCTGTGTTTGGGATGCTTCACAACTGATAATGAAGCTTCTATTTATAGTCATGGCAGTCACCATTTCTCCAGCATCATTTATTATGTATTTATGTTCATAATAGGGTAGGAAGAAAATGCCATGCTAGCTTCTCTATTGTCAACAAAAGGGGCTACTGTAGCTTTGGAGGCTGGAACATTTAACAAAAAAATATCTCAAACCTGAAATTCTAACTAATAAATAACATCATTTTATTTTATTTCACAAAGTTTTCAAAGTAAATAAACACATTGCTTTCTTTTTTTGGAATAAACAGCACCAAGTCTATTAGCATTTCCATATTAGGCTAGGCATAAACGCACATGAGAAACAAGCAGCTAAACAACACCATGTGCACTTGACACCTTAAGTCTTCCAAGGAGGCATTGAATCAAAGCAACTAAACATCACCATGTATATCAATACACACACACACACACAGCACCAATAATAGCAACAAACTTTGAGTTCAATCCCATAAATAGCAACAAACTTGTCTAAACCCCCCAATAAAAACATGTATCCAACTTTGAAAGCAAGATCTTCAAAGCTGGAAGCTACATTAGTTGGAAACAATTTCAGACCAACAATTTTTCAATCACTGTTATAAGTTCACATCCACATTTCAACAAAGTTCATAAAGTATGACTCAACCAATACATTTAAAACATTTCAGATCATCCTGTAAACATATTAAGAACACTGCAATGGTAACATTACATCGGTCACAATAAAATTCATGAAAGATTGATTAAAACACAGTTCATAATTCCAATACACACTATAAAGTATGACTCAACCAATAACAGTATTTTTACTAACAAAACTACGCATTTCATTTGGAAACAAAAACCGAGTCTTTGTGATTACAGTTATACATGGATTAAAGAAAACGAATTGTTCTAGATTTCACTCATGGACCAAGTTCATGAGCTGCATAACTCTCAAGAACCGATGACATTACAGTGTTGGAGTGGGGGTAGGGGTGGGAAGATGGTAATTCTTGATGTGGAAATAGCAACTTCAATCTAAATGCATCAACACCATTCAAATAGTATCTAAATAGCCTTTTTGCTCTTATAAACCCCAGACGCCCATATAATGCAAGCGCACCCTTATTTGTCACTTCAGCTTCCAATGTTACCTTCAAATAACAAAATATATCATCATAACATACATACATACATAAAGAACAGATGGTATATTTGCATCTAATCATTATCCTATGTATCAAGATTCAAGGCATGTTACAAATCATAAAGAACAGGTAAAACTGAACACACTGAAACTTATTGGAATCCATTAAGAACAGAATACCTCTTCACAACCTGATTCCATCATCACTTTTATGGATCTTGTAACAAGTTCTGTAGCTGCAATACAACTAATCATCAGTTTACTAGCATGAATCGTATGATCTTTTCTGAAACTAGATATACAAAAGGGAGCACAAAATTCGACTACCTTCATCTGGATTTGGATATTTAATGTTGAAATTAATATGGGGTTATAAACTTCTTCAAGAAAAAAGTAATTGAGATCTACAAGTGAGAGAGATGATGAAAAAAATTACCAATTCCTCTGTGACGATAAGGTTTGAGGACAACGAGCATAGCAATGTAGCCTCTGAAAGTATTACGGTGTTCTCCCATTTTAGAAACCACTGTTCCGATGCATTTCCCCTTATGGAACGCCTGCAGATTTGAAGAAATATATCAAATACTCGATTTGATGACGAATAAGAAAACCAAATGAAAAGATGGAAAAAGGGTAGATGGAGAGTACGAGGAAGGAGAGATTGGGCCAGAGATAAACGAAGTAACGATAGGTGAAGATGGAATAGGGTTCGCTGAGTTCTTCATCAACGAGGCGCATGATAAGGGGCAAGTGATGCTCGCCGGCATAGCTCACATACTCTATCTCCGATTCATCTACGATGGAACCATCCGGCGTCGTCGTTTCCTCCATTTTAAGCGGTGGCAGGGACGAGTTGTATGTGTTACAGAAGATGAGGGAATCGTGTGCGTGGAAAATTATAACAGATGCCTGATTGACAATGGAGACTACGGTGGGGAAGGGGAAGAAGAAGAGTCGCCGACGATTGACAATGGGGTGGAGAATGGCAGACCGGAGGAAGGGATTTCATGGGTTATTAGCATAAAAGCCCCTTTAAATTTTGTATTTTGATAAGATTTTACCCTAGCATGGATTTTTCTTACTTTAGGACAACTTTTGTCCTTAACTTTTTCAAAATGCACATTTTCTCGTTGGGTTCCCAACTTCCCATTCTCTTTTAAGAAGCCGAAGTGTCCAGCCACATGCCTCGCCAAAAAGTAAAACCAAGAATAGATGAAGACCAATAAAATGACAATTATAACAAGTTAGGGACAAAACATGTCCTAAAATGAAAAAAATAATTCAATTATAGAGAGAAAAATAGCATTGGAGAACAACACCAAGCATGTCAATCTAAAATAAAACTTTTGCTCTATGTTTAAACTAACTGAATAAGTTATGTTGATGTCTTAATGACGCTCACACTTGAACACGATCGCATTCTTTACCTTCCAAATAAGCCATATAAATAAAAGTATGAGTCTACTGAAGCAACTAATACTCTTTATTTGAAGAAACTCGTAAAAATCCGATTTTGAAAATTGTTGGATCAAAGAAGCAAAGCCAATTTCCTGCCTACTCCATGGTGCCACCCCGCCCTAAATTTCTTTCACAAAATGCATGGTCAAAACATTCCTCCTCTTAAAAGTAAAACGAACATAATCTTGATTAATTTTGACTCCTCTACGTGCTAGACTAGGTGCTAATGGGATGCGATTTGGGATAACTTTCCAACCGAAGCAGTTGAGTTTGTTTAGAACTAGTTATTCCATCCGACATTGCATTGTTTTCATCAAAATGTCCTCGTAGCAAGCATCACTATATCCAAAACTGTTACATGGATTCGCGAGTGAGCTAGCACATGTCATATAAGCAATGTACACCTAAAGTTAAGTAGCTTAGATTAGGCATGTAAATCAGTCCGGAACCGACCCTTGAACCGAAACAACTGGAAACCGAATAAGCCGTAAAGTAAAAGCCAAAACTGTACCGAATACACTAATTGGTTCGGGTTCGATTTGTACTAATAAATGTGCTATCTACAAAAGTGTGTTAAGAACCAGAATTGGCCCCCACCGGACTAGAACTGAAAAACCAAAAATTAAATAAATCGTAAACTAAGAACTGAAAACCGGACCGAATATCACTAACTAGTTCCAACCGATTTCAGTTTTGGTTCGGTTAATTTGGGGGGTGGGGGCAATTTTTTTTATTATGTTATATATTTATATATATTTTTGTTTAAAAAAACTTATAGTAACATTTTTTTCTAACTCGTCTAGGGCATTAGAGGATATTTAAATACTCGGAACCGGTTTTGATTCCGTTTTCGATTAAAAATTATTCCCTACCTTAGATTATCCTTTGTTCACTTCAACATTGAACCCTTGTGATCTTTTTTTTTTTTTATCAATTAGGGTATTCCATTTTTGGTATGGCTATACCCAATAGATACCCGAAACCCTAACCAGAGTTGACCGGGTAAATCCCCGAGTTGACAGGGGATGGGAACGGGGATGAGTATTACCCGAATATAAAAAGCGGGGATCGGAATGGGGATGGTTCTACCTATCGGGTACCCATACCCGTACCCCAAACCGGCCCCGATGGGTACCCGATATATATATATATATATATATATATATATATATATATATATATATATATATATATATATATATATATATATATATATATATATATATATATAGTATTACTTATGTTTTTATTTTTAATAATGCATAAGCAAATTTTCAGTAGATAAAGTAAGGTTTTTTAACAATCAAACGTATAGTTTTGGGAAGAATTTTTATGTTGTTTTTTTGCAAAAAATGATTTTATTTGTAACATTGAATGTTATTGTTCGTATTTGAAGACATTCAGTGATTATAGTGTTTTATATTAGTTCTGTTAGTTTTTATTTTGTTGGTTAATATATAATTATGAGTTATTTTTCATAAAAGTTCAAAACTTTGTAATGGGTAAAAATCTCCGACTACCCATTGGGGATCCTTGATACCCATTAGGGATAGGGATGAGGATGGGATAGATTTTTAATCCCCGATGGGGATGGGGAGCACGAAAACTGGTATACCCATACACATTGTCATCCCTACGTATGGCCTTCCTTGGAGGTGGATCACAATTTCGATGAAAATACGGAAACGTCTTGCATTCGCTTCTTGAACAACCCCTTTACCCCTTATTGAAAACCCCCAAAAATTTATCTCGAGACTTCCTTTATAGGGAACCCAACCTTTCTCCGGTGACCCTTCAATGATAGTTTAAAATTTGAACTCATGCACTCCTAATTGTTTTCAATCATGTAAATACAAATAGCCATTGTAATCTATCTAATTATTTTCGGTTAACCAATGTAAATAACATATAATTACAAATAATTGGTTTATTCTTTCTGATTCCGTAATTTTTTAGACATAAGTGAACAAAGAAAATATAAATACAATATAAAGTCAATATTAATAAATAAGTATCTGAAACAGTGTGATTTTAGTTTAAATTTAGTTTAAAGTTATACCAAACCTAACACCGTTTCTTACAAAAAAAAAAATGATGTAATCAATAATATAATCTGGTGTTAAGTCATCATAATGTTACTAATGGATTAAACCATTAAAAAATATCCAATAGATAAAACCGATCTAATCTAAATCAATTTTAATCCATTTCTATGCAAAATAATTATGATAATTAAAAATAAAATTACACATAATTACCTCTAAATAAGACTAACAAAATCACATTTAACTTCAAGTTCCAACTTAATTTTTTATTGAATATTTGATAATAATATTAGATATTTATTGGATTGGACCCATTCAGCTATTTATTGGATTTTCAGGATAATCCAATATCTGATCTAATCCCAATTGGATTTTGAAATTTCACAACTCCATTGTAATTGGATATCTAATCCAAAAGGTCTTTACGAATACAAACAATTACTACTTTACTATAGTAATTCATGAATGTCTTACAAGATTCATAGCATAGCATAGTTTACTACAATACAAGAAAACAAACGTGTACCTTACATTCTTTCTTTTTTGCAACAATACCCAATACACCCAAAAAAACATAACAAAATCTCAATAAATTCCCACATGCGTAACAATCTTCAATATCGACGAGCCCCCGAGGTTGATAACAGAACTCTACTTGCCTTCTTTCCTTTCTTCCCCATCTCATTTCCCTTGTTGCTTTCAACAGGTTTTGCCCTCGATATAACATTAGCAAAAGATGATGCACCTCCCATTGGCAACCCTGTATGATAAACAATCAAAATTTGCAATTGCTTTTACAAAAGATATGTTTAATTACATAAATAAAAATCCAGGTTTATTTTATTATTCCATACAATCAGTTTCAGGGGTTACCAGTTGAAGTATGAGTTTCCTCTGCAGTTCTTAGAAGACCTGGAGAATCATGTGCTGCTGCAAAACCAAGCCTAGCAACATTTGAAAACAGAGGTCTGTCCACTGCAGTTGGAGGACTACTTGATGATGCTGTTACACTTACAGAAGAGCTTCCTAGAGCTTCAAAGTTCAAACCAAACAAAACCTTTACATCATTCACTATACTTTCAAAGAAAATAAGTCAGAAAATTTATAGTACCTTCAAAGTCATCCAAAGAGAATGCAGGAGAATGATCAAAGCAAGAGTGTGCATCAAAAGGAATAGCCACATAATGTGTAGCTGTTGCTGCAGCTTCTGCCTTCATTTTCTCCTCTTGCTCCTTCAAGTAGAGCATCACAATTTCTTATCAAAGTTGTAAGCATAACAAACAAAATTATATATAGATGTTATATTGTATTGTATTGTATTGTATTGTGTGTGTTAAAGCAATAAATAAATGACACGGAGTTATAAAAGGATAAAAGAGCAGATAGACACCTTTCTGGCAACGCGCTTCCTCTGCTTTTCCCTATTTTTCAGTTCATCCTCAAATGGAGAAAGAGAAGTTGGAGGCAAAATTCCAGTGAGATCAATTTCACAAAGCTGAATAATATGAAATTATATTATATATAATACCACTTTTTTAACATCCAATTTTCTTTAAATGGGCTTTAAAGTGTACCTGAAACGTGGTTGTTAAAGAAAAATGGCTCAAGTAGCGATATCGCCTCCTCATGGCTTCTGACTGTGTAACACTCTCCAGTTGCAAAATCTTACCACTAATCCTGTAATTTTGTGAATTTAAGTTTCAGAAAGAAAAAGAAAAAGATTCAGAATTTGATTCATGATGAATATCTATGAAAATTCCAACCTTTGAGGAAGATTATCATAGGTTCCATAATGTTGCAGAAGACACTTCATGTTTAAAGGATGGAGTATAAGGTGTTGTCCATCAGCTGCCTGCAAAGAAAAAGAGTAAGAAAATAGTGTTGCTAACTTGCTACACTTCAACCAGACATAAGACTGATTATAAATTACAATCATTTTATGATAATAAAGTTATCAATCTTAAGATGCAAATATGTGAGGGATTGTTTTGTATTTTTGTAACTACATGGCTTTAGGTTAGGGTTTCAGAGAATGCACTACAAATAGGTATGTGAAGGGATAAAATGTAATGAGAAAACTTAAGAAAACAAGATACTCAAAATATAAAAAAAAGTTTACCTGATAGAAATCATATGATCCCTTGATCTTCTTATCTGCAAAACCATTAGAAGGTAATTGTATACACTTGCTATCCTCATAGGAAGAAGATAAAGCTTCATCTTGGCAATCATATGGTTCATCCACATCAGCAGTTTGATTCAATATAGGTTCATTAACATCAGCCAATTTCAACCCACTAACAGAAAGTTCCTCAGACATAACTGAACCACTGACACCAACACCAAAATTCAAACTTGGTGGAGAACCCACATTAAAAGATTCATTTTTACACAAGTTAACCCCACCAAGATCCTTCCAATAATTCTTCCTTTCTTCTAGTTGTTCCATTGCAGCACAAACATATGGAAGCTTTTCCATGTCATCAACAAGCCCTGATTCTGCTCTAGCAAGCCAACTATCAAGGTCAGACATTGCTTTCCTAACCGAAAGTTCAACATCTACTGTAAAAGTAAACTTTGAAAAGGAGTCGAATGAATTGACCCCTTCTTTCTGTTTTGCATTTAGAGTTAAAGAATCTTTATTGCGGGTTAAAAGCATAAATTCAATGGTGTCACCAACACAATGCTGCTTGACATTCTCAATGTAGATGGTGTACAAGTCTTTTGAAGATATCATCATGAAACATAAGGGACATTTCTTCCAAGATTCACGTTTATGGTCATCTTCTCCTATTAAAAAGTATCTTAATATACATGGGAA